TTATAGGACTCCCTTAATCAAAACACCAGTCCCACCAGCCATAAATAAAAGCTAAAAATAAAAATTAAAACAATGGAAACAAAGTTTTAAATCCCCGTCTGCCTTTTTCACTTCCTGCAGGTTCTGAGCCTGAGGCTTGATTGCCCATTAATGTTAAAATAAAAGGGGGCATGGAGAAGTCAGCAATCGTGCCCTCTGGTATTTGCCCAAATTAGTCCAAAACGTACGTCCCCACAAAACCTGCACATGGATGTTTCCAGCAGCTTTATTGAGTGAGAGATAGAAACATCAATGATGAGGGAGAATCATAGATCGGCTGCCTCCTGCACGCCCCACACTAGGGGTGGAGCCCGCAACCCCGGGCATGTGCCCTGACTGGGAATCGAACCGTGACCTCCTGGCTCATAGGTCGACGCTCAACCACTGAGCCATGCTGGCCGAGCTATTCTTAATTCTTAAAAGTTGGAACCAACCAAAATGTCCTCTAGTAGGTGAATGGATAAATTGTGATCCAATCATACATGGGAATATTGTTCAGTATTTAAAAGAAATGGTGCCACTCTGCTAAGGCTGCATACTTATGCCTGAGGCCACGGCATTCTGGGAGAGGCGAAACCATGGAGACAGGAAAAGAAATTAGTTGTTGCCAAAGGTTTGGAGGCGAAAGGGATAAATAGGTGAGACACGGGTGACTTAGGGCACTGCAGCTATTGTGTACGATAATTGTGTCAAAACTCACGGAATGGACAACTCAGAGTGAGCTGTAAACTACGGACCTGGGGTGTGCTATAGGCTGAAGGTATGTGTGGCCCCGTCCCCGCCCCACATTCATCTGCTGAGACCTAATCTCCAATGTGATGGTATTAAGGTGGGGGCCTTGGGGGGTGATTAGGTCAGGAGGGTGGGGCTCTCGTGATGGAATTAGTGCCCTTTTAAATGGGGCTCCAGGGAGCAGCCTCACCCCAGAGCGAGGAGGTGGGTGTCCGTGAGTTAGGAAGTGGGTCCTCACCAGACACAGAACCCAACCATCTCAGAACGCCCGGCCTCCAGAACGGTGACAAATAGACTTCAGTAGTTCCTAAGCTGCCTCGTTTTTTAATGATATTTTTTTATGGTCTTTTGCTACTGCAGCCTGGGACACATTCAGACAGGGTGATGATGATGTGTCCATGCTGGCTCATCACTGTGACAAGTGTACCTACCACTCTGGGGCTGATGATGACAGTGGGGGAGGCTGTGTGGGTGGGTGGGGGGAGGGGTGTGTATGGAAACTGTTCTTTCTGATCAATTTTGCTGTGAACTTAAAATTGCTCTAAAAATAAAAAAAAAAAATAAAAAGATCTTCATTTAAAGAGCAAGGGGGGAGGGAGCATGAGAAAGAGTTAAGTATTACAGACAATGGCCCCCAACTGGGACTGTTTCCTGGAAGGATACGGACGGAATGGACAAACAGCTTCACACCCCGTCCCTCCTCCCTGGGAGCACTACTGTAGGGGAAGGAGCTCGGGCCGGGAGTCAGGAGACCAGGGTTCCAGCCTTGGCTGGGTCCCCACCCACCGTGTGCTCTGAGCACGTCCCCCTCCCTGGGGTCAGTTTCCTCAGCCGGGGGTTGGGTGGGATGATTTGAAATGCGTCATTCCGCCAAGGTCAGACCCCTCCGGGGGTTCTGGTGGAAAATGAATCTCCCAGGGTTGGCCTTTGCGGCTAGACACTTCCAAAATCCCTGGTATTCCCTGCATATTCAAGCACATACACACACATACATGTACCCATGCACGCAGGCACAGACACCCAGGAGTGTTTCAAACGAAGCGGTGCTCTCTGCACCCTGCTCTGCACCTTGTTTTGGTTTCAGGTGTTGAATCTTGGAAACATGCCCTATCGTCACAGTAGGAACACCCGCCCACAGAGGTGACCGAGATTGGCAGCACCTGCCTAACCATAGAAACACCCAAAGTCCAACCGGCAAGGTTCAGTGGTTGCGTGTCAGCCTATGAACCAGGAGGTCGCGGTTCGATTCCCGGTCAGGGCAACTGTCCGGGTTGTGGGCTTGATCCCCAGTAGGGGGCGTGCAGGAGGCAGTGATCAATGATTCTCTCTCATCATTGATGTTTCGCTCTCTCTCTCTCCCTTTCCCTTCCTCTCTGAAATCAATTTTTAAAAAAATACCTGAAAACATTGATGGTCTTAGCGGAAGGGGCCTCTTCCGTCACTTCCACTGCGTCCTCGTCATCGAAATACTCCTGGTAGATGTCAATGGCGTTGTTCTGCTTCACGCAGTGCTCCATGATCTGAGGGGGGCACGCCCGGAGTTCTCAGCGGGAATGGGGGGCCCTGCTGTCTGACGGGCTGAGATGAGGTCTGGGGGGGCTGAGGAATAGCTAGTGGTCCTTTCCCACCCTCAGCCCGTGCATTCTCAATGAGGCAGCATCGCCCCAACAGGGCGAAAACTGGTTCTTAGCAGTAAATAATACTACTTTTCCCATACAAAGCGCAGGTAGACATGCAGTACATAAACAGATGTACGGCATACCTATGGCATCGACATTTCGTGGGGGGAGGCAATTAGGAAGAGAATATCTAAAAAGACTCCTTGGGGACAAAAGTGAAAAAAAAAAATGGTGAAAGAAACACTGCTCCCGGCAAACAGAAGTCTCCATGACTCCACATATAGCACCCATCTCCAGCTCCTTCACCCCGAAAGCCCTCCCCATTATTCCAAATGTCCATCATGGAAAAGCCCATGGTCAGGTGCCACCTCTTCCAGGAAGCCTTCCGTGATCCCTTCAGCAGGAAATGGACTCTCTCTCCTAATGGGGCAAAATGACAAGTCATCCATCCTCTAACATCATTTATTTCTACATGGTGTGGTGATATCTCTGTATTTGTCTTTGCCCTCTGTTGGATTATACACTCTTTGGAGCAGGATGCATGTGGAATTCATTTTTGCAATCTCTACCGTGCCTGGCAGAGACCAGAAGCGTGGTCCAAATGTGCTGAATGAAAGGATGTTCCCTAGTGGTGGGAAGCTGGTGGGTGGAGTTCTTTGGGGTTCTCTTTGCCCACGGGGGCCACTTTTCAGACTCCTCCCAGAGCCTGTTCGGCCCTGCACCTCCCGGCCTCCCCCTCCGGTCTGCTGTGGTGGATGTGCCTGCTCCCAGGTAGAAGGCTCCTTACGGGTCTTCCCCTGAGTAGCCACGGGAGCTGAGCACGGGGCCAGGCACATCTAGGCTTGACATGCACTTGGGGAGCCTGAGCGATGGCCGTGGCTCTGACCGCTGGGGCTGAAGGAAGCCTTACCAAGCCCAGCTGCATGATGGTGTTGATGTAGTTCTCGTCTTTCTCCACCTTCTTCCGGAAGCGGATGGTCTGCTCCAGCTCCAGGGGGTTCACATCCTTGGGCCAACCCCCCTCCACGTGGTTGACACCCCGCGTCTCCATCTCGAATCGCTCTGTGTTGGCCTGAAGAGAGAGCCCCAGGTGAGAACCCCTGGCCCTGGTGCGAGCATTTAGCCGCTTCCACGCACCAGGGTCCCGAGCCCCACGCGCTCAGGATGGACCAAGGGGGTGTCTGGCCAAAGCCATGAGGTTTTCCGGTACCAGGAAGGCGCCTCTGGTCCTCGGGGGGTCGCAGGCAGCCATGGAAGGGCCCTTGTGTGGAGCTAGCATCTTTGCAGCTGATGCCAGAGGCCCAGGAAAATCTACTTCTGAGTGGCACCCATCTGCTCCGTAAGAGCCCTAAGGAGAGAGGCGCGCCCGCCGCCTCCGCCCTCCGTGTGCCATGCCGCAGGAGCCAGTGAAGAGTCTGGGTTGGCTTTGCCCGTTCTCTGTGGCAGGGAGGCGGGATGGAGGTAGCTTTGCCCTTTAAACTTAGCAGTGTGCCACCGTCCCATCTTCCCCTGTTTTTTAGTAAACGACACATAACATCAAGTTTACCACTTTAAACAGTTAACGTGCACCAGTCAGTGGCGTTAGGCCATGCAAGGGCTGTGCCACCACCACCACCATCTAGTTCCAGGATTTTGCATCACCCCCAGTGGAGACCCTGTTCTCATTCATCAGTCACTTGCTTCTCCTTTGCATTTTTTAAAAAATATGTTTTTATTGATTAGAGAGAGAGAGGGAGGGAGAGGGAGAGAGGGAAACATTGATCGGCTGCCTCCTGCACACCCTCTCCTGGGGATGGAGCCCACACCCCAGGCATGTGCCGAGATCGGGAATCGAACCCGTGACCTCTTGGTTCACTGAGCCGCGCTGGCCGGGGTCCTTGGCTTTTTGAAGCGCTCCCTAGAATTACAAGTCTTCCGGGCACAGCTGCTGACAGAGGCCCTAACGTGGTGCGAGGGCAGCATCTCTATGACACGGACAAAGTTGCCCTGGCCCCGTGACAGCAGCTCGCCCCGGGAACTCGAGCAACGGCGTTCCTCTGAGCTGTGAGTTATCAGACCCACATGTGAAATCAAATGTGACGTCCACCAGTTGATTTGGGACGTGATACATGGGTTATCTCCGTCCGTCTGGTTTCCTCGCAGCAGTTCCCGACGCGATCAGGAGCTGACCACCTGGCTCAGACAGGCGGGCAGCTCGCTGGGTGTCTGAACAGCACCATGACCCAGTTCTCTGGTCTCAGAGCCCCTCTCCCCAGAACTTTCTAGGGCAGTGATGGCGAACCTATGACACGCGAACTCATTTTTTTTGGTTGATTTTTCTTTGTTAAATGGCATTTAAATATATAAAATAAATATCAAAAATATAAATCTTTGTTTTACTATGGTTGCAAATATGTATCAAAAAATTTCTATATGTGACACGGCACCAGAGTTAAGTTAGGGTTTTTTAAAATGCTGACACGCTGAGCTCAAAAGGTTCGCCATTACTGTTCTAGGGCAATCCTGACTTTTCTTTTCTTTTTTTAAAATATATTTTTATTGATTTCAGAGAGGAAGGGAAAGAGAGAGAAAGATAGAAACATCAATGATGACAGAGAATCATTGATCGGCTGCCTCCTGCACAACCCCTACTGGGGATTGAGCCCACAACCCGGGCATGTGCCCTTGACCAGAATTGAACCCAGGACCCTTCAGTCCGCAGGCTGATGCTCTATCCACTGAGCCAAACCAGGTAGGGTGCAACCCTGAGTTTTCACGACTGGGCAGTTGCCTGTGGATGTAATACTCTGCCCCCGCAGAATACCTCGCCCCCTGTCCCAAATGCCTAAAAGGATTCTAGAAAGAATTTGAGAGGTGAGGCCAGAGCCACTGGGAGAGAGAATGTCTTGATTGACACGCCCTTGGCCCTGGGGCTGCTCAATGCAGGGTCCCCTCCCTCTGCCGGGCCCTGAGCATCATGGGGGGGCTCTGTGCCATCCTGCCTCACACTCCCGGCATCTGCACGGGGCCACCCCAACTGGCTTCCAGGTGGAGGGAGTTACCTAGACTCACACCCACCTCGTGCTCCGACATGCTGGTGGAGCACTGGATGCCCGTGTCCACGGGGTTCCGCTCCATGAACTGCTCCGCCAGCTCGGGGTTGGGCGGGATGTCGATGTGCAGCTCTGCCTGGCGGTCCGAGAAGTTGCAATGCTTCCCGAACTCGCTTCGCTTCTTGACGTACACGTACACGATCTCCATGGTGCCGGCAGCTGCAGGGGCGGGGGTTGGGGGTGGGGTGTTTGGTGAGGGCCCCCGCCTGGCTGCTTCCTGTTCCCATGGGCCTCACTGATTTGAGAGTCGAGGCCTCAACCACTCAGTTGTCCAAAGGCTTGCCCACTCCAGAGTTCTAGGTTCTGGGACTCACTGGGGGACCCCACTGGAAACTCCTCCCTCCATGTCACCCGCCCCAGGACAGGGCTGGGAGTCCACCTGAGGAGGCCAGGAGGCTGGCCCTCAGCAGGCAGAATCGTTAGGCCTTTGAGAACCTCTCTGATTTGTTCCTTGAAAGGCACAGTGCAGGAAGCTACCCATTGTCTTCACTATCAGAGACGTGTAAACAAGGATCTCTGAACGCTGGTGAACCTTGAGCCCTGGCAAGGGCCAGAGCTATGCACCGATTGTTTAGTCCAGACAATGGGGGCTCAAGCTATTTCCTGACCAAATAGTCTCAGAGTAAATCTTTCTAATATTTACTGACCTTTACGATAGTCTGTCTGTTACTGCAATTACCTGCCTGACTAAGAACTAGATGCGTATCCAAAATTGAATAAAAGGTTGGCGAGGCCTGGGCACCAGTGGAAGTCCTTTCTCTTGCATTGGGCTTGCCCATCTGGCTCCCAATATTTCCAAATTATTATTTCTTGTCTCATCTCTTTCATTTGCATGCGGCCCCTTCTCCAGATCCCGAACCCTGAACCACGCGGGACATGGGACATTCACAGCACCATGTGGAACTGGAAAGAAGGATTGGGCTGGGTTCGGACTTCAAGTTCTGGCCTTGGCACTCACCAGCTGCTTGACCTTGGTCATTCTGAGGCCAGACACTTTGGGAGGGTGGGAAGCACAGCACTCCAATGCAACGCAAGGAAGTGTTTTCTCACTGGCGCTAAGCGGAAGTCTCAGAAATGCAGTGGGCAGGTCCACAGATTGCTCTTCACTCACCCCCAAAAGAGACCTGGACCCCTCTGACCCCTGTCACAGCAACAGACTGTGGGGTCTGGATGCTCCTCAGTGGCCTAAATGGCTGGTCATCTGATGGGGCCTGTCAGCTATGGAGCTGAGCAGAGCTGCCACCTGCTGGCCACTCCTAACTCTCAGGAAGTGTGTCCCTCCGGCTGTGGGTCTGTGAGGCTGCTGGGCCTGCGTGGACACCTAGGAAGCAAGCTGCCGGATGGGGTGGCGTGGGGGAAGGTTAACTTCACAAGAGCCTCGCCATGGTAGGACTCACCTCCGAAGGCCTTTCAACTCCCAGGAGTTTAGGGTCTTACCTGTGAGCAGGTGTTGCTAATCTTTGAATGATAAGGGGACCTGGTAGAAAAATGCTTGGGGGACATGGCCCTTGATTTAAGTAAAAACCTATAGACAAATATTTAAACTTGAGAAACAGGTGGAAAAAGAAATGCAACAGAAATGCAACAGTAGTAATTCACTTTCCCAAGGGCTTACCAGAGTTTGTGCCCACAAATGCTTTCTGGGGCACCCAAAATTAGTCTAGTTTTTTTAAATCTAATTATCTAGATTTTCCTAGGAATTTGCAGGTTTTATGAGTGCCAACTGTATGCTTTCTACTTGTTTTGATTATAGTTTCATTATTTCACTTATTCAGCAAACATTGTTGAAACTCTGACTAATCAAGACAGCGTTGTACTAGCATAAGGACAGACATATTTGTATCAATGGAATGAAATTGAGAACTCAGAAATAAAAACCTTTCTATTTACGGTCAACTGACTTTTGGTCAAATTACCAACGCACCTCACAAGCTAGCAGAGGACGAAAATGGTGCCTGGATAACTGGACCCTTGACCTGCAAAAGAAGGATCACAGACCCCTACCTCACACCACACTCACCAATGAACTCAAAAGGGATCACAGGCATAAATGAGAGAGCAGAAGCTCTATCACTACAGTGGGAGACCAGAGAGGGAAGTCATCGTGACCCTGATTAAGATAAGCTTTTTTGGGATAAGATTTCTTAAATACGGCATCAAAAGCATGGTCCATAAAAGAAAAAAACAGTAACTTGGACTTCGTTAGGAATGAAAACTTTTGCCCTTCAAAAGACAGCACGAAGACAAGACACAGACTTGAAGGAAGCACTTGCAAATCACATACCCGGTAAAGGGCTCGGATCCCGAATCTGTAAAGACCCACTGGGTCCCAGGCGCTGTGAACCCCCACCACAGCCCCCCAAACGGTTACCACCATTCTCATTCTACAGGTGAAGCAACTGACGCGGGGAGAGGCTAAGTACCTGGTCAAAGGTCACGGTACTTAAGTCCAGACAGACCGAGCCAGGACCCGGCTCTGAAGCGGTGAATAGCTGAGGGGGTGCATTTACAGCACCTGCCACCCATAGGCGCCCAGTCACTGTAGGTTCCCTCCCCTCCATTCTCATCAGCAAGCTCTCCTCTGCGCCTGCCCAGCCTCCTGCCACCCAGCCCAGGCTGTATGTCCCCTCCGTTCAGCTGTAAACCCTTTGGTCTCCCCCGCCCCCAGCAGGCAGATGGTCTCAGGACCAGCTGACCGGGGGGTAGAAGGTAGGGAGGCAAGGCGTTTAGAACTTGCCAGGCCCTGCGACTCGGAGGTATTGAGGGCAGCGAGGACCAACCGAGCGGGCACCCTAAGAGCGCTATTCCTGGCATCCGCCTCTCGGCAGGGCCACCCCAGAGGGACGCCCCCACCAGGAATTCCTTGCCCGATCGGAGGTTACTCTCTTGGGTGGGGGCGGGCCTCCCGCCTTCACCCTCCACTCTCCTCCACAGCCGCGGACGTCCTCCCCCGTCCGCCCTTACCCTGGGTCCGCTCCTCCTGCCCCCGGGAAGCTGGGGAAGCGCCCCAGTCGCGGTGCCCGCTCCAGCGCCTCTCAAACGGCTCCCAGCCGCGGAGTTTACCCGTTGCCTGGCAACCCTGGCCGGGCTGGGGCCGCGGGGCCACGCGGAGGCGAACGGGAGCGTGTGACCTTCCCGTTCCGACCGGTGGGAGGCGCAGCGGCTCCGGGCTCCCTGTTCCGGAGGTCTGCAGGGTCAGGAGGGAAATAAAACAAGTTAGGCAAACACCGGCAACATAGACGTGCGCAGGGCTTGCCAAGGCGCTGATCCGAGTCTGCAAACACGCACCGGGCAGGACCCGGAGCAAACGCCAAGGTGTTGGCAGTGCCCCCCGAGTCCTGAGCCCGGGCTGGGGAGGCCGCGCTCTGCTATTTATTGGCTTGTGACTGGCAGGTCTTTGACCACCCAGTCGTTCAGTGTCCTCATCCACTAAGTGGGAATTACAGCCCAGGCCTCCCTTCTTCTGCCAGCCCCACTCCCCCTCCCCCCCACCGCCATACCACATCGTGGAAGAATCCTAAGTCTGACCCAAACCGGCCACAGTGGAAAGTAGGGGCTGCAGACAAGGAGGGGCTAAGCAGGCGCTGCGGGTTCACTGAATGAATGAATGGATGGATCCAGTGACATTTCTCTTGGGGTAAAGGTAATGAAGTGAGATCATATGAAACTTGGGGCTAGAAGACATGAGTTTGAACAATGGTTGTGAGTTGCAGGGGGAAGGAGAGCATTCCAGATTGGGGGGAGAGAGCATGGTGTGAGCAAGTGAGGGGTGGTGGTGGTGGAAGAAAGGCATTTGGGGGATGGAGGGTGCATCAGTCGGGCTCCCTCCCTTCCCAGCTCCCCACCTTCTTCACATATGTCTTCACCACTACCCACCTGCCTTGAACTGGGCTGGGCAACACAATTCCCAACGAGATGGCACTTTCCCAACCACACTAACCAAAGACAAGCCCTAAGCTTCCACCGGCTTCTCTGAGCCCCTTGGGGTGGGTGCTCAGGGGGTGCTGGGGGCTGGGTGGAGGAGCATCTGAAAGCCCCACGGAGGTGGTTTTGTGTTGTCAGAGGCCAATCCCATCCCAGACAAAGCATCCGGAAGTCAGAAGCAGATCAGCTCCGCAGTGGAGCCTGCAGACTGCCTCACGGAGCACTGACACCCTCCTCACCCCACCCCGGACCCGAGACGCTGAGCCCTCGGCACCCACATTACTCTGCAGATGGGGAAGTGTCCGGAAGGTACAAAACGGGGAAAGAGGGAAGGTGGAAGGCAAGCTATGGCCACCTTCCTCCTGTATTGCAATGACTTGTTACAGGCTCCCCCCCCCCACCCTCACTCAGGACTGCTGAAGGCCGCTCTGTTCACTGGCAAAACACCCATCACCCCTTGGCAGGCCCACTTCCCTCTCAACTCAGCCCAGCTCCCAGGCGGCTCCGCCAGCTGCCAAGGGGGCAAGGCCACGTGATCATGCCAGAGTAGGCACCTCAACAAGGGGGCGGGGCCCCCTGATCAGCCAGCACTGGGCAGGTGAACAGGGCAGGGGCGGGGCCCAGTGATTGGCCTGAAGAGGGGCAGGTGAACAGGGTAGGGGCGGGGCCCAGCGATTTGGCCTGAAGAGGGGCAGGTGAACAGGGGGCGGGGCCAGGTGATGAGGCATAGAAGTCTCTGGAGGACAGGAGGTTGCAAGAGTGGCCACGTGACGATGGAAGGGATGCGGCCAGGGGCCCCCAGAAAGTGAATAGGCAGGAAGGATGAGGACCCTCCCCTGGAGCCCTTCGAGGGACCACGGCTCCCGACACCCTGATGTCACATTCTGGCCCCAGAACAGGGAGAGCCATGTTCCTGTTTGTCTGGGGCAGTCTGTAGCCATCGGAGCAGCAGCTTCAGGAGATAGACCTTACCTGGCTCCTCCTTTTGGGGCTTTGGCTGGGTCTGGGAGCAGCTGAGGCCTGTCCCCCGGCACAGGAAGTCCCCTGGACCTCTCAGTGCAGGGGCTCACAGGGAGACACATCGCTGTGTCTGTGCCTCAGCCCTGTCTCTCGCTGCCCCGGGGGCTCCTTGGCAGTGACAGTGCAGTGGGCACAGGGCAGGCTGCTTGGTGGGAAGTGCAGACTTGGGGGCTCAGAGGCGCCTCGCTGCCTTGCCGAGCCCTCAGCTACAGGAGGATGCAGGGCACCCCACATCCCTGCCCTGACCTCCCAGCCTTCTCACCCGTGAGTCCAGCCTGGGCCTCCGCTTCCTGGAGCACCTGGTTTGACGGGAGCCAGCCACTGGGTTGCTGTGCCCTTATTCTAGATGCCAGAACTGAGGCTCAGAGAGGGGGAGCAGATGCGTCTCTCCTGGGAAGCCAGCCTGAGGTCATATAATTTGGAGTATGCACAGGAATCAAGTTCAGAAAAACTGCATTGTCTCAGTTCTCTGCTCAATCACAGCTAACTGGCCACTGAGATTGTTTGCTGGGAGCAGCCACTGGCCCCCATCATCCCCCGGCCAGTCCACAGTTCTCTGCCGTACACCCCCTTTTCCTTCTTCCCAGTGTTTTCTGCATGTACCATTGTAAAGAGAATAAAAACAAGTTTCTTTTCAGGGTGTTCATTGTTGAAATGCAAGTGTTTTTGTGTTCACCTTGTATGCAGCTACTCTGCTGTTTCATTTCCTCGTTGTAACCATTTTTGGTGGAATGTTAGAGTTTCACACATACAAAATGACATCTTCCACGAACAGACATGCCCACAGCATTGCACGGAGGCGCCCAGCTTGCCTTCTGGGTTGGCCCTCGCTCCCAGTTACCCTCTCTGGGCCGCTGTTGGCCTATTTGCAAAATGAGTGACCCAGTGGGTGATTGTGAGGTCTGGTCAGCCATGAACATACACTTGGAATAGTCCGTGATGCCTGGCGGGTGTCCGACACATGCTCCCCATTATCAGCAACAGTTAAGAGCAACGACCTTTACGGGGGACGCTGGAGAAAGGGGCGGGCAGACAGGAGGTCTGAGTGTAAGGGTAGCGAGGGGCCACAAGAGAGGCCCCATGACGTTCACTCAGTCACCCCATCTTTCAACCCTCAGAGTGAAATTGCCACTGAAATCTGCTCTGAGGCCCTCCAGCCACGTAACCCAGCCAGAAGGGACCGTCAGTCCCCTCCTTCCCCCACAGCCAAGGAAGTCAGACACTGAGTCCAGACATTTTAGTACAAGCGGTTTATTTGCCCCCCAGGAGGGTGCACATGTACCAGGCAGCGGTGTGCCCACCCAGCCCCGCCAGGAACCACCCTGTGTAGTCCACATGCATTAGAAACAGCTCTCTAGTCGCCAACGATGACACGGTGAGAAGTGAGAGCTTGATGTCGCAATTTCTATTTGCACAGGACGTGGCCACTGAGGGTGTGTTTATGGTGCACGGTTCTAGAGGTTAATGCGGGTGAGTCCTGGCTGCCCTGCGGCCCCAATGTGTCCTGGGGCCTGGCTGGGTGAGAACCACTCTGCAGTCCATGTTTGATGAGAAGGTGGCTCTTGCAAAACGCAACTAGAGCCTTGTCCCGAGCCGTGCCACCCCGGTCCCTGCTTTGGCATGTGAGGCTGTGGGGCTTCAGTGCTGGGCATTCCGAGCTGGCAGGACATTGGCGGCGCCCACGACCCTAACCCTGGCTCCTCCGTGGGCAGAACCGTGGGCCATATCCTCCTGGTGAATAGTGCCTTCTCACCCAGCAGGGAGTGTGGGGCCTGGGACAACAGGGTGGGGACGGGGGGCGGGGGGCAGGGAGGACGACACAGTTGTTCAGCTTTGCTAAAACCTTTACTGACAAACTTGCCTGAAGATGAAAGGGAGGGGAAGCTGGCCCGGCCGCCATTCCCCTGGGCGACCCCATGGCGACCCCGTTCACGCTGTTTGTCCTTCCTCCCCCGTTAAAGGGCCTCCCCCGAGTGGGATGAACCCATATTGCCATCAAACAGCAGCCTAGGACAGGAGGTCTCACTGATGTTTATTTTGTTTAAAAATCCCGCCCCTGCCCGTAGGTTCTTAATGACCTGGCAGTGTCAGCAAGACCCGGAAAGGAACGGGATCCAGACCAGGGGTAAGGAGCGAGCCGCATCTACTGTAAAAGCTGCTCTAGGCTCCATTCTTTGGATAATCCAAGTATTTAAAACACTGGGAAAAGAAGACTTAGTCTCTTTCAGAGTGTCCGCGAATTCCTGAGACTGTCCCTGTCGGCAGCGAACGCACTCCCAGCATCCAGCTGGAATGGAGGTGAGGCGACCGAGGATCGCGGAAAGGCCGGGGGCGGAGCAGGCTGTCACCCACACTCCTGCCAGGCCCCGGGAGACTGACTCGGACAGTCTCTGGTCTCACTGGGGACACCGCCTTCCTAAAGGCATCTCCCGATCAGCTCTTCCACCTTTACCTGCAGGAAAACGCTCGCAGGAGGCACGGTGCGGGCAATGGGACCCTCGGGCCCGAGCCGGCCCCTCCTGCTGCCAGTCGCCACCTGGCGAGGGCAGGATGTAGGAGTGAGCGGATCCAGGCTCCCAGTGTAGGGGCAGCCGAGCGACATTTCTGGTGTGGAGAGGAGGCCAGAGGAGGGAGAGGCTGGTCCAGGTGATGGGTCCAGGTGGTGGGCCCTCCGTCTGCCTGCAGCTTCGGTCAGGGTCCCAGCCAGGCCCAGGCGCCGTCCAGTCCTGCCATCCGGCAGGCGGCTCCCGGAGGCCTTTGGCTTCTATTGAAGACATGCAGCTTTCACGCAAATGAATCAAAACCCAGCCGGATGGAGGAGGCGGGCGCCTCTGGGAGTTAGGCCGGAAACTCATTCCTGTAGTGCCGCAGGTGCTCGTCCCCGACTGACAGGTAGGTGGCCCGCATGCTGGGAGAGTACTGCGGGGTGGGGGGGGGGGGGGGGGGGGAGGGGAGGGGACAGCAGCACAGGGTCAGACATGTCACCAGCTAAACCAGACACTGTCCTCGCGAAGGTGCCGGGAATTTCTGAGGGAGAGAGAGCCGGGCCAGCCAGCTGTGTGGTTGTTACTTGGGGAGCCTGCCCACACCTCCCTGCTGTGGGCTCCTGGGTC